TTTTTTAACGATTTCGGATATGTTTACGATATCATCTTCGATTATTGCGTTTATGTTTTTAAGTTTTTATGTTAAAGAAATAATCAATGATAAAATATCGAGGGTTCTATCAGCTGTTCGCAGAGGATACATGTTAGGGTAGTGCGTCATGAATGTTTCAATGTTGTATAATGTCAGATGAGTGAGTATGATAGCAGTACGTGGACTTTGCGATAGAGAAACCTATGTAGTTTAAGCACTTAAGGCGGTTAAGTTATGGAGTTGCAAACGAAAAATGAAGTAGTGCGACATCTTCTGTGCGTTCCTGTGTAACTCACGTCACGTAACGAGATCAGGACTGCTCGGCCTTACCGCTGCGATGCGAGGTCCAATTTCTCTGTTGATGCATTGTAAAGTAGAGTCAGTAGGTGTTTGGTGAGTGAATTTTTTCGGGGAATATCCTCATTAGTAGTACCAGACTCTCATTCGCAGCATTGCACCGTCTACATAATTCACTCAACTGATTTACGATGGACATAAGACAGGGCGCTGGCATCATTACAGTCTCGTAATTCCTGCCCTAAGTCGCGGAGACAGTTCCGAGACTCTGTCCCTAGACCTGTTGCGATAAAATATCGGCGCATTAACCACTAGACAGTCGGTTCGCTTCCTCTTGATTCATGCCTTGGCCAGGAAAAACATAAAGGTCTAGCCAAAGTCAATTGGCCTTTTCGGGAAGAGAGTAAGAGCGACATTTGTTTTTGATGTCCGTGTGTTGCTATGCTCTGCTTATATTTTTTGCCAAGTGTCCATTGCTTTCCTAGTTTTGTCTGTTTTATACTGTAAGACTTCAACATTGCGAACGCAGTGAGGGTGGTGTAAATCCTCAATATTTTTAGAGAAGCTTTTCATCAGACATGTGCAACAGAGACACAAAACTCCACGGTGTGGCTAATGCACAGGACGAAGTGAGAAGGAATGACGTGGTTAGGATTTGTCTGCCGACTCGTCCAGCCTACATCTCTGTTAGCAAACGTTCTTGGAATCATGTATCCTTTGGAATGGGAAGACCATGCAACCATGCAATTTGACATCGCAATAGTTCCAAGACCGGAAAAAAATGTCGGGGCGGGCGAAGGCATCCACCGACTCATTGCGAGACAGAGTTCCGCGAATTTGTCGCTGCGTTTGGATCTAGCGGAGCAAGCGTAGTTCATAGTTTGCCTCCTCTCTTCTCATTTCTCGCATGCGACTTGTCCAGCTGTGCTGGTCAACCGCGAGCGAGTGCGGCCGCGGCTGCATGCGATCACGGTTTCCGGGGAACCTCACAGCGGGGCGGGCGCTCGGGAAAGGGGGCTCTTCCCTTCTGGCGACCGGCAGGTGGGGGTTGGGGAGGGAACGAGCTGTCCGATGCGGTGGGCGGGGCTCCCCGGGTGCGCTGGGCATGCCGACTGGCCTCCGATCAACCGTCACTTGCCGGCGTCCGAGGCAAGCTGTTCCCTTTTTCGCTTCTTTTGCGGCCTGCTGCCCCACGAGCATTTCTATCGGTTTGCCGCCGACGCTTGCAAGAAGGAAGGTTGTTCTGGTCGAATTAATATCGCCTAGCAACGCCCTCGTGGAGTGTTGGCGTTCTACAGGCGTGTTTATTAGGAAAAATGTAGAACACAAAACTGGAGGAGAAGAGGTGTGAGTTTCGTTTCTCGCCTTTCTTGGTTAGATTGAACAAACGCTTGTTCGTCATTAGTTCGCCGACTATATAATCGGTATAACGACACATCATTGTATTAATATCTATTGTTTAGTATCATTAATTAAAAAAATGCGCCGAAAAAATTGTAAGAGACTCTACACCCTGCATTCATGTGAGAGATGTCGATGGTTTTAAAGATACCTTAAGCATCTAGATGAACGAGAAAAATAACACAAAAGACCGATAGAAGACTTTGATGTTGGATTGAACAGTTGGAATAGTTTTATAGTGGGTTGATCCTACAACCATCATACTGACCAACCAGCTGAATTTTCATTGCTCAGAGCGGCAATTGTACTTTGACTTCCAAGTGACGGAGGCCTTAGTGGTGTACCAAATTTGTTAGCGGCGAATTTTCATGAGTCCAGAACAACAATGTGTAAAAGAAAAACTGATTTAAAACACTTTCTGATAAAGCAAATCTCTATTTTAAAGTTGCTTCCAGTTTAACAGGAGCATTTAAAAAAATTGTAAAGGAGTAAGAAAATTTTACATCGAGTGTCTGAAATTGTTCAAAGAACACTTTCCCTGGAGTAGTCGTAATAAATAATAAACTCCATGGTACCCGACGCTGTGACGTCGACTGTGCCCCTAACAAGCCCGATCGCGCTCCTTGTGGGCCATCCTGAGTTGTTAGTGGTGACATGGTGAAAATACTAGAAGCCGAGTTGTGCTTTACAGTCGCGAACTTCGTCGCCTCGTGACCGTCATTGGATTCCAGGATGACCTCCATACGCAGCATGCGTCAAAGCTTCGAGCGCTACTCGTGTGGCTGTGATCGTTGTGACGGTCGTAGCTAACTTGGCGGCCGTCGGCGGAAGCTTATTAGGGGTGTGTGGGGCATGGTGCAGGCGAATCTGTGCTCAAGGCGGACATCGAATGTGTATATAAACACTAGTGTGGGCATATTGTGAGTTGAAAGTATTCTTGTACTGTGTGCTGAATGACATTTTCGGAGGTGGAGACTCGCTTCAATGATCGGAACGTTCTTGTCAGTCGTGATGAGTTATACTTAGATGGTTTGTGTGTGGGGTTATGAATGGAACCTCATGTGTCAATATTTTTGAACTTTCCCATGGAATGCTATGTCTCTAGACTAAAGTGATATTCGTAAGTATTGTTGTAGCCGGAAAATTTTTGAGGTCGAGACTTCGTGAACTTCGCTTGCTTAGGCCCATGTAGATTAGTGGCAACTTAGAGAAATTGCTCGCCTCTTGCTGGTCCTACTTCGGATAATTCTGACTGCTTCGATTCGAGGATCCAGGTTTACTCCAAGTTGTCTCTGTATGTGACTTC